AGGGAACGTTGGGAACCAAATTCTTCCCACCTGAAACAGGCCCGTGTCTACGTGTGTGAGGCTCCCTCCTGGGGAGCTGGCGCTTGGTGAAGCCGCCGCACTCGGTGTGGGTGATTATCTAAATGTCAGCCTTGTCACTCGGGTCCAGGCGGTCTTCACAAAGCTTGTGGGAGGTGAGTCTTCTCTCTCGCTGTCTCTGCCCCCTTTCCCAAGGCCCCTCTTGTGTGTGTCGCCCCAGATGTAGCCGGAGCTCTTTCGTGGGGTTGATCACCGTGGGTGACAAAGCTCCACTCAGAGCCTTGCGGTGACAGGACGCCTCCAGGCACACACACAGGGCCTGCACATGCACCTGAGGGGCAGACGTTGGCACCTCAAAACCACTTGTTTGGCTGTGCAAGGCGTGCGCTTTGCAACCACCCTGCTGCATGGCGTCGGCGGCAGTGCTGGGCCGCTTTCCCGTTTTGTTCGTTGACCCTTGAGCTCACCGGACAGTCACTCACCGAATGTCGGCTCTGCACTCCTGGGCCCTGAACTGTGGACAGTGGCCTTCAGAGGCCTCGGGTCAGCTGCTTGCACCCTCTTGGGCTGAGAGCCAAGCGGCCCCTGGGGGGCTCCCTGTGTGGACTCTGAACCCCTTCCCCCCACTCCGCAGCTCCGTGGGAAGTGAGCCTGCAAATGGAAGCCCTGGGCACCCACAGGAGCACGGAAGCCAGTGTTTGTGAGGATCAGCCTCCCAGCCAAGCAGACACAGAGCCACCTGCAGCCTTGCCAGGACACACGTGCCGCATCTGGAGAGAGAGCTGCCTGATCCGCAGCTTGTCATCTGGGCAGGAAGTGTTCTCCGTCCTGCGAGACTCTGCCTAATTATGGGCTGGATCCATGCCAGGAGAGAGGAGTGAGAGAGAAATGAAGAAGCAGCTCACACAAGCGTGCACACGCGTGAGATACCGCCAGGCCCCGGCTTGTCCTCTGCGGTCATGGTCTGCCTTCGCGGCACCACGATGCCAGCAGGTGCTGCGGTCAGACTCAGGAGAGACGGACCAGGCAAGGCAGGAGCGCAGCGAACAGGGTCTTGGCTCTGCATTCCCAAAACCCTGCCGTGTTTGGAGCCGCTGTGCGGGGTGTTGCCAGCCATTTGTCACCGCTGCGGAAACACCGACTTCTGCCTGTCACAGATCTTTTCTTCTTCTTTTTTAAATTTTAAAAACTTGATGAAATAACGTATATCATAAAATTTGCCATTCTCACCATCTCTAAGGATGCAGTTCAGTGGCATCAAATATGAGCAGAAAATGGAATTAAAAGATGATTTATTTTGGCACCAAAAATTTGTGAAATTTATGCATAGTTTTTTTTCTTTTTTTTTTCTTTCTTTCTTTTCTTTTTTTTCTTTTTTATTGACAGGCAGAGTGGACAGTGAGAGAGACAGAGAGAAAGGTCTTCCTTTGCCGTTGGTTCACCCTCCAATGGCCGCCGCGGCCAGCGCGCTGCGGCCGGCACACCGCGCTGATCCAATGGCAGGAGCCAGGAGCCAGGAGCCAGGTACTTCTCCTGGTCTCCCATGGGGTGCAGGGCCCAAGCACTTGGGCCATCCTCCACTGCACTCCCTGGCCACAGCAGAGGGCTGGATCGGAAGTGGAGCAGCCGGGACTTGAACCGGCGCCCATGTGGGATGCCGGCATCTCAGGTGGTGACTTTACCGGCTACACCACAGTGCCCGCCCCGAGGCTCTTTGTCACATCACATTTTCTTTATCCCTTCAGCTGCTGTCAAGGCACATCGTTTGCTTCCCTATCTTGGCTATCGCGGTAATTTTGCAGTGAGGGAAGACGCGCTGGCTTCATCTCTGGGTACACCCCAGATGCGGGATCGCTGGGTCACGGGCACTTCCAGGTTCAACTGTGGCAGGAACCTCCATCTGGCCTTCCCTGACTGCTGCACCAGGATTGCAGAGTTAGCAAGCCGTTTCTCCTTTCTTTCGTCCGTTCTCTCTGTTCCTTCATTTCTGCGGTACCGTTGGCATGGAAGCCTGCTCAGGAAACCCCGAAAGCTGGGCCGCTTATTACCACATTGTCACTCAGGAGCTCAGCCTCATCACAAACTAGCTTCGGGGGAATCTGAAGTCTCTGTGTGTGCAGTAGCCACGTGAACACGGCTGCCTCATTCCTTTCTCGTGGAACTGCACAACAGAGATGACGGGCGGGGGGGTGATGGCGGTGCCAGTCCACCAGGCGGCATGCTAAGTGATGTGTCCGCGTCATCTCATCCAAGCGAGTCCTCGCAGCAGCCCTGTGAGCGAGGGGTTAGTGCTCCCATTATACAGAGAGGAAGACCAAGGCTGCGGAAGCCCAGACGACTGGCCCCAGCATCCCAAAGCCTGCAGAGCAGGGGAGCTCGGGGGGTTCAAGCCCGAGCTGCCCTCTCCCCAGCCTCCACGCTCTGCCGCTGCTTCTGCAGTCCGTGTTTTTCTGCCTTAAAACATCAACTAATGAGCACAACCTGCTGCAGAGTGCAGCTGGAGGTGACCTGCTCCCATCTGTCCGTTAGCACCTGCCTCCTTTTTGGGCTGCAGAGAGTGAACTAGGTCAAATCCATTGATCATTTCCACCAAGGGGGAAAGACGCCGTATTGTTCTGATTCAGTTTCACTTCCAACCTGGCAAAATAATGGGCCCCGAGATGTCTACACCAGCCACCCGGGATGTGAGCCTCGCTGCAGTAGCCAGGCGTGTGGCCTTTCCCCGGGGTGTCCCTCCCCGCCCGTCAGCATGCCGGACACCCTGGGTGCCCTCCGTGTGCCCCAGCCCAGCAGTCCTCTCCAGGCTACACCAAGCCACCCACGGCGGCCAACACAGGGACCTCAAGCACCCAGCAGTATGTGCAGAGTGGGAGAGGGATTCCCAGGACGCCAGAAGGCAGAACCTGCCGGGAAACTGGGTTGATTAAGACTGACCTGCTACTTCCTCTCCATACCCAGTCCTGGAACATGTCTTCTTCTTCTACTGTTTTTTTTTTTTTTTTTTTAAGACATTTATTTATTTGAAAGGCAGAGTTATAGAGAGGGAGAGGCAGAGAGAGAGAGAGAGAGAGAGAGAGAGAGGTCTTCCATCTGCTGGTTCACTGCCCAAATGGCCACAACAGCCAGAGCTGAGCTGATCCAAAGCCGGGAGCCAGGAGCTTCTTCCGGGTCTCCCAGGCAGGTGCAGGGGCCCAGGTACTGGGCCAGATCCCATGTGGGTGCCAGTCTGTGTCCTGGCTGCTCTGCTTTCAACCCAGCTCCCTGCTAATGGCCTGGGAAAGCAGCAGAAGATGGCCCGAGTGCTTGAGGCCCTGTTCCCCAAGTGGGAGACCCAGAAGATGCCCCTGGCTCCTCGCTTCAGCTTAGCTCAGCCCTGGCTGTTGTGGTCACCTGGAGAGTGAACCAGTAGATGGAAGCTCGCTCTGTCTCTGTGTCTCTCCCTTTCTAATACATAATGTCTTTACAAAAAAATATAAATAAAGCCACCCAATGCTCAGCAGATATCCACGGGGAGAAGAAAACCCACCTTGGGGTGGGGTTCACTCGGCAGTGGTGTCGCGTGTCCTACAGGGAGCCACTGTGTTGGGCAGCCATTGTCGATGTGGTGACCTAGTAGGTGCTTTGTCTGGGCATGTGGATTAATAAGACAACAACCTGGCGGTGCTGGCTGCTTGTCAGCTAACGCTGGTCTCCTGGGCAGCAGGCTGATTAAACTGTTGGGTTTAGTTCAGAAATGGGGAGGAGGAACCAGCTCAAGCAATAGTGGATTGAGAACACACACACATGCACACATTTGCCCTGCATATCCACCTGTCACAAAGCTTTGGTGGCACCACCCCAGGAAGGACTGTGGCCTCAGATCGGGCAGAAGGATGGATTGGCTCCCACAGGCAGCTGGAGTCAGTACAACACCTCACTCCTGGCGGCCCACTACCAGGGCTGGCCCACCCCAAAGCCAGAAATCCAGGTTTTAATCCACGTGACCCACGTGTGTGGCAGAACCCAAGTACCGGAGGCATCACCTGCTGCCTCCCTGTGCACATGTTAGCAGGAAGCTGGATCAGAAGCAGAGCCGGGACTTGAACCCAGCACTCTAGTTACTCTAGTATGGGATGGGGGCTCCCAAGCGGCCTCTGAACCCCTAACGTGTGCTTTCCCATGCAGCCATCGTAAGCACGAGTTTGGGGAATCTGGTGGTCGTGTGCAATCACGTGACCTCCATCCCAGTCCAACACGGAAGAGTTCCCTCACCCTGAGAAGCTCCCGTTGCTCTCGCGAGCTGGGTCGTGCTGGGTCACTAGGGTTTTGTCTCTCCTAGAACTTCACGTACGTGGAGTCCAGAGCGCTCTGTGCCTTTGCTGTTTCCCTTTCACTAGCATGATGCACCGGAGATTCATGCACGGGTGTGTCAGCAGTTTTCCGACTCATGGGTGCTCTGTGTGTGCTCACCCGCCTGTCCGTGGATGGACATCTGGGTTGCTGCCAGTTTGGGGCTACTGTGCATGAAGCGGCCATGTGAGCTTCCACACAGACATTTCTGGGGGCGTATACTTTGATTTCTCTTGGGTAAGTACCCAGGAGGGGGATTTCTGGGTTGCACACCAAATGTGTGACTCGGCAAGATTGCGCCGTGCCGTTCTGCGCTCCCCCTAGCAGCTCCGCGTTCTCACCAACGCTTGGCGTTGTCGGTCTTTTTAACTCTGATGTTGAGTTTTGGATGATTAGGAGCCCGGTGGGCAAATGAGGTAGGGAGGAAGTTCCAGCCAAGGAAGAGGCAGGGAGAGGGAAGCAGGAGGCCCCGTGGGCGAGCAGCCGCGCGGTCAGTGTCGCTGGGGCCAGGACGGGACCTGGGAGTGGGGAAGTTGGGAGTTGACCTCAAGACGTGGCGGAGGCTGGGCAAGGCCGGGACACTGAGTAGTAAAAGCAGTGACTCCTGAGACAGGTGCTCCCGCCACCCCGTCTGCAGATGAGAAAACGGAGGCATGGCTCGCTACGATGCCTACGGACGTGTGGTGGGTCAACGGGAGAGCGGAGAGTGGAACGCTGCCCACCTGGAGACCGTGGGCTGCTTGGGTACGGCAGCAGCAGAGGGGGAGGAGGGGGTCTGATTGAGTGGGGAGGGGGGAGGGAAACAGGCCGACTGCCAGGATTTCGGCCTGAGCAGCTGAGCCAAGGGTGGTACCTCTGTCCAGGACAGGAAACTCCAGAATGGGAGCAGGTGTCGGGAAGCACCGGAGTCGAGTTTGGACAGTGGGTCTGCCACGAGCGGTGATCTTTCAGTGCTGGTACTTTCAGCGCTCCACCAAGGGGGCCCCCTGGCCTGTGACACTTGCTGATTTATGTTTCTGAAGGAACATGGCTTTGAGTTTTCTGCACTGTGGTTGGTGTGTGTGTGTGTGTGTGTGTGTGTGTGTGTGGTAGGAGTCACTCAAACTAGGGAATGTGCCTGGTCAGCCACCCAGCATCCATACTGCCACCCTACTCCCTAAGTCCCTCCACCTCCTCCTCATTGTATGACACCCTTGAGGACCCTTGCCCCTCCCTCTATCCCTTCTCCCTTCCCCCAAGCTCAAAGCTATCATGATTTGCTCCCCCAGCTTAACCATAGTCCCCTCTCTCTTTTTTTTTTAAGACATTTGGGGCCAGCGCTGTGGTGTAGTAGGTAAAGCCATATCCCACATGGGCACCTGTTTGTGTTCCAATTGCTCCTCTTCTGATATGGCTCTCTGCTGTGGCCTGGGAAAGCAGTGGAAGATGGCCCAAGTGCTTGGGCCCCTGCACCCATGTGGGAGACCTAGAAGAAGCTCCAGGCTCCTGGCTCCAGACTGGCTCAGCTCCAGCCATTGCGGCCATTTGGGGAGTGAACCAGTGGATGGAAGAACTTTCTGTATCTCCCTCTTTGTGTCTGTAACTGTACCTCTCAAACAAACAAATAAATCTTTTTAAAAAAGATTTCTTTATTTGAAAGAGTTAGAGAGGGGGAGAGACAGGGAGATCTTCCATCCGCTGGTTCACTCCCCAACTGGCTGCCAGGCAGAAGCCAGGAGCTAGGAGCATCATCTAGGTCTCGCATGGGAGCAGGGGCCCAAGCACGTGGGCCATTCTCCGCCACTTTTTCCAGGTGCCTTAGCAGGGAGCTGGATTGAAAGTAGAGCAGCCAGAACATGAACTGGCATCCGTATGAGATGCCGGCATTGCAGGTGGCAACTTGACCTGATAAGCCACAGCCCTGGCCCCTCACAATCACTTGTCTGGCATCACCCCACCTACCTGGGGCCCCTAAGTCCTCACACTGAGTCAAAGGGTTCTTTACTCAAAAGTGATCCATCCCCACCACTCCCACACCTCCAGCCACCTGCAGGGCTGGTCACCTGCGTGTGTCTCCTGCAGGTTGCCTGGAGCTTGCACAGTACAGAGAGCTCTGGGACATCACCAGTTTTGCCCCGCCTTGGGAGTCTAAGGGAAGAGCAAACCTGTTGCTAGGGAGAATCCTACAGAGGCCTCGACGTGCTGGGCTGGGCACTGACACTGTGGGTAGGCAGGGCTCATTCCCCACAACCCACTCCACCCGGAACTCCTGGGCTCAGCTCTGGGCCCCTGGCACACTGTGGACCCAAGAGAAGGGGCAGGTTGCGGGAGCAGCCTAGAAGTCAGAGAGGGACCCACGGAAGGAGAAGAAAAAGCCTGGGTTGAATGGAGTCACCAGTTTCAAGTCTTTAAAGATGGCAGCTTTACTGATCGGATCCACAGAGAACTGTGTTCCTGCCCTCAACTTGGAGTCCCTGTCTGGGGACTCAGATCCGCCCCCAGGGAGGTGGACACCACAGGGACAAGACGTCCAAGAGGGTGTGGTGCTTGCCCCGGGAGCAGCGAGAGCTAAGCTCCAGCCTGCAGCCTCCCGACTCCACAACGGAGCCCTCTCCGTGGCCCTGTCTGCCTCTCACAGCTCCATCCCCAGTGGGAACACGTCTGAGGAGCACATGGCAGGGCTGTGTCTCTGCCAGCGCTGGGCTGTTCCCCTGCCAAGTGTCAAGGCGGTGAAACTGGTGGCCCTGGGGCCGTCGCTGGGACACAACCCAGAGCCCCTCAGGGGTGCCCCCAGCGAGTCTCAGAGTCCCGGTCTGAAGACGGAGGGGGGTCGCTCGGTGAGTCTGAGATCCTCCCCAGATGTAGCACTCAGTTTCCAAAAAGCCGATGTCATTTGTGTCTCGGAGAAGGGAATGCATCCCAGTTAGTTGAAGTTACAGCGTAAAGACTTGGTTTTTTTTGAAAAATGACGGAAGCATCTTGTCCCGTCAAAAAGGACTTCAGTGGAGGAGGTGGGGCCCTGCCCCTTGTAGCACTGCCTGGGTCCTGGGGTCAGGTTCAGGAAGCCTGGTTCTACCCAGTGGTGTCGTGGCTTTTCTTTGTCGTTGGGTCTCTCACTTCTGCGTGCGTAAGCATCGTTTGCTGTTCTAATTTACAATACTTTCCTTCATAACGTTGTCCCTTCTTGATTCAGAGAAAGGGGGAACATTTGTTTTAATAGATTTGAATTTTATCAGCCTGCGAATTTGCACCCAGGCATAATAATAATAAATTACCATCCTAACGAGTAGGATGCCCCGAAGGATGGCGCTGGCACCCCCAATAATTGATGTTCATTCTTGGGAATTCAGGGGTGTCATAATTTATCGGGGTTCATTTTTTTCTATCCAATTTGAGGAAAGGCAGCTGTGTTTTGTAAGCAATAAACTCTGCTGTTGTATTTCTTGGCTAAGCAGAGAAAAGCATTATTATTTTTTGCCTATTTCCTAGTTATTACTGAATCTCTAGTAGCTTCTTTATGGGAGAGAGTTTATCAATATTTCAATTACAAACTCCAGTTTCCAGGAGGTCTGTAGCTCGTATATTTAAAAATCAGATCAGGCTGAAGACACAGTCAGGGAGTAGCTTGTCATCCCACGAAGTGGAGCGCTTGCTGGAATATTGAACAATCAGTGTAAGTCCGTTCGCTTTCTTCCAACTTTTAGGGTGAAACTTTGGTTTTCCTTCCCAACATAAAGAAAGTGGAATGAAGTTTCTTCTGCCATCAAGAGCGTGCAGAGGTTTCTGGGGCTTCTGCCTGCTCGGAGGGAGCAGGTGCGGGACTTGGGTCTCGGGCCTTGTTCAGCCCAAGGTGCGCGTTGGAAAAGCCGTTACAAGTCATAGTGGCTTTTTTAACCAGTTGAGTGATAGTTTGATGCATTATCCTTTTGAAAGGAGCTGCCTGTTGAACCCTTCCCTAGACGCGAGGAAAGCAAATAAGCACACTCCCTAGTCATGCGACTGGTCTATCGGCCTGTAAGAAAGTGACTTGGGCCCCGGTGTTGTGGCACTGTGGGTTAAGCTGGCACCTGCAACCTGGCATCCTGCACTGGAGTGCATGTTCAAGTCCCAGCTGCTCCATTTCGGATCCAGCTCCCTGCTAATATGCCTGGGAAAGCAGTGGAAGACGTTCCAAGTGATTGGACCCCTGCCACCAAAGTAGGACACCTGGATGGAGTGCCAGGCTCCTGCCTTTGGCCCGGCTGTTGTGGCCATTTGGGGGAGTGAACCTGTGGGTGGAAGATCTCTCTTTCTCTCTCTGCAACTCTGCCTTTTAAAGAAATAAGTAATAATTTTAAATAATAAAATAATTTTATTTATTTGAAAGGCAGAGTTATAGAGACAGAGACAGAGGGAGAGGGAGAGAGAGAGATCTTGCATCCATTGGTTCACTCCTCAAATGGCTGCATGGCCAGGGCTGGGCCAGGCTGAAGGCTTGAGCCAGGAGCTTCATCCTGGTCTCCCGCATGGGTGCAGGAGCCCAGGCACTTGGGCCATCCTCTGTTGCTTTCCCAGGTGCATTAGCAGAGAGCTGGATGGGAAGTGGAGCAGCTGGAACTCAAAACCAGCACCTAGATTGGATGCCAGCGTTGCAGGCGGTGGCTTAAGCTGTTAATGCCACAACGCCAGCCCCGATAAACATTTTTTTTTTTTAAAGAAAGTGAGTTACCTGTAAGTATAGCCAAAGGCCATCGGAACATTGACACTGTGTGGACAGGGATGGGCTGGCTGTCTGGTGGTGATATCTGGTGGACGTCAGGTGCTGGGCGGGGGCGGGTGGTCTGTTGACGTCATCCATCCCTGACTTGAACCCGTGCTCCCCACCGAAGTCCCATGCTCAGGCTCTGTCTTCAAAATCCCTTTGCATCAGAAGTGAGTGATCATTTTGGGCACCCGCAGCGAGGACATTACAAAATGTCCTATCCCCCACAAGCAAATGACCCCCCTGCTCTGCCCGGCGTGGCCTCTGTTTTATGGGGTTGGCCTTTAAAAGAGAAGTGAATAAGTGAGTGTGTGTGCAGAGCCGCAGTCCGTGCCGAGGCTTAGCGTGTCCCGGGCCGGAGCAGGTGCGTCTGTTCTGGTTGCAGGTTCTGTCTGGACAGGTGTCAGGGCCTCAGGGAGCAGCCTTGCTCCTGGCCGTGGCGTTCGACATTTGCAGCCAAGCCCACGAGTGCTTTGCTGTGTGTGTGGGGCCCTTGCCGTGGAAGCAATGCAATGGCCTGTGAGGAGCCCCGAGTTCTCACGTGAGGATCTGAGGAGGCCACGGCGGTGGCCACATGTGGGCTTGGAGGCCCCCAGGCCCAAGTTCTCATCCGGCCTCAACCACTTACTGCCTGTGTAACTTGAGCGAGTTACTATCAGCACGCTGCTTTCCCATCTGGGAAATGGGTCAGTCACACGTGGCCTGGAGTGTTGCTGTGATTACAGGAGGAAGCACAAGCGATGCACCTGGCACATGCTTGCTCGTTCATGATTCCTCACAAGCACCTGCCTGGTGCCAGCTCCTGGGACCTGGCGTCCAGGAGCTGGGAAAGTTTGTGGACGGCACAGATGTGGTCCTCGTCTGGGGCTGATGCCCTAGTGGGGAAAGACAAGAAAGAAGTGACCAAAAAATAATGTTTCTTTGTTTTTAAGGGAAGGTTGACTTATTTAGTTGAGAAGTAGCTACAGGGTGGGGGAGGGGAGATCATCTGCTGATTTGCTCCTCAGATGGCTCCCGTGGCCAGGGCTGGGCCAAGCCGGGAGCTCCGTCCTGGTCTCCCATGTGGCCCAAGCACTTGGGCCAGCTTCCACTGCTTGCCCAGGCCACAGCAGGGAGCTGGGTTGGAAGTGGAACTGCTGGGACTGGAACCAGTGCCCATATGGGATGCCAGTGCTGCAGGTAGTGGCTAAACCCACTGCACCACGACGCCGGCTCTGCCCTGACAGTTTTCACAGTGAGTGGCAGGAGGGCGGCTCCATGCAGGTGACCAGAGAGGGATTCCGGCCCTGGTGGCTCATGAGTGCCTTTCCATCCAGAGCTACTTCAGAGGCCACCCCCTTCGGGAAGCCTGGCCTGCGTCGCGGGCTCTGAGCACCCCGTGCCTCTCTGTGTAGCGCTTCTTGTTCCTCCCCTGTCCTCACCTGGCCCCTGTAGGTCAGGGCTGACCCCACCTCCTGATGGTGCCTGAGAACCTGCTTGCTGCTGCCTGAAGCCTCCACTCAAGACTCCAGACATGTATTCCGTGGAACCTTCTAGAAAAAAAACCCCAGTGGGTGCAAGGAGCCCTGGCCGCTGCATGGTCTCTGAGGTCCATGTGCACAGGGTCTCATTAAGATTCCCGGCAGCGCGCCCTTCTCGGAGAGCCCCGTGCAGCTCACCCTGCCCCCGGCCTGCAGTTCCTGGAGCAGGTAAAGAAACCCCTTAGTTTAGGTCACAGGAGCCCACAGAACCAGCTGGCGATTTTTTAAAAAGATCCTGGGTGGGTTTATTTATTTAGTTGAAGGGCAGGGCGATGGACAGACAGAGGCCTCCCAGCGGCTGTTCACTCCCCAAATGGCCCAGGGATGGAAGGACCTGTCAACTCGCTGCTGCCTCCAAGAGTCTGCGTTAGCAGGAAGCTGGAGCGGGGAGACTCAAACCCAGGCACTCGGCTGCGGGACACAGGTGTCTGAACTGCTACCCCAAATGCCTAGCGACCCCTTCCGCCAGCAGATCTTGGAAAAGACCCTTCAGCGTCCAGCGCTGTGCCATGGCAGGTGAAGCCTCCCCTTGCGACACCCGCATCCCATACCGGTGCTGGGTCACGACCCAGCTGCTCCACTTCTGATCCAGATCCCTGCTAATGCCATCTGGGAAAGCAGCTGAAGATGGTCCAAGTCCTTGGGCCCCTGCCCCCATGTGGGAGACCAGAAGAAGCTCCTGGCTCCTAGCTTTGACCTGGCTCAGCTCCAGCCATTGCGGCCATTCGGGGAGTGAGTCAGCGGATGGAAGACTCTCTCTCTCTCTCTCTCTCTCATCCTGTCTCTGTAACTCTGCCTTTCAAATAAATAAAAAATAAATCTTTTTTTTAAAAGGAAAAAGACCCCTCACCAGCCTCCCAGTGACAGCAGCTCAGGGCAATCCCCCTTAAGTTCTCAGGAGCCAACCGAGCCCCCAGCCCCCAGACAGGTCCCCTGCCCCCTACTCCCAATTAAGGTGAGGGAGAGGAGGCTGAGGCTCAGCCTCCCGGTGGCAAAGCCCTCCCCCCGCCAGACGCCTGGGAGCAGTAGTAACTGACAGGAGGGCTGCATCTTGGGGGGGGGGGGAGGATTAAAACCAAGATTCTGCTATTATTTCTCTCTGATAAAAGTACAGCGAGGAATAGCTCGGCGGTGTCACCGCCTAGTTTTTCATTTGTGTTTTTGTTTCATGCTTCAATATCTTCCTCCAGCTGCTCGTGTCTGCTTTTCTTTCCTCCTCACTTTGATCTATTCGTTCTCCCCAGAAATGGGGTTTATAAATCATCGTAATGCAGCCTTGGGAAAGATGGTGCTTAGTGCAGGGAGAAATACATCGCCGCTAACAGCCCCGGCAGGGAGAAGAGCGGGCGCCTTGTTGCTGGGTCCCGGCGACAGGTTACTGATGGTGTTTGCTTTTTATGTCTGTGCGCGCGCCGCCGGGGCAGGGCCGTGGGGAGCGCTCCGCGCGCCACCTGTGCAATATTTCAAGGCTCCTCCAGTCGTCCGAAAACAAACTGCTCCCGCCCGTTCTCGGGGAGGCAGGTGGAGAGAGGGAAGACGCGCGAGGGTAGGGACGGAGCATAAAGAGGCGAGGCGG